AGAACCCCCAAAATGCAGCAAGCAACCCATACACACTGACTCTTTCCCAAGCCAGAATGAGTCCTGGTTGCCTGGCCAAACTTGGAACTCATTTTTAAATTATGGAAACGCTTCCCATCTGAACACTGGCAAGAAAAAAGATACCCAAAACTCTGCATGTGTAGCAACTTCCGCCGAGATACAGACATGTAAAATCTCTTGGCATTAGGCAAGTGGAAAAATATAATCTATTGCTTGATTTTGGAGCTGGTGCTTTTCACAACAGTAATGCCAGAGTCACATAGGACCATTTTTAGCATCTCGTCTACATAATAGCTCAAATGAGAATTGGCTCTGTGTCGAATGAGCACCCAGGAGTCTACTGTATCGGCTGTGGTTTTTTCCCTGGTAATAGCATGTGGGCACCAGAGTAGCTTGCATACCCTCTCAACATATTAAATATCCTGCCACTCAACCGGTGCCACCTATGAATTCAGTAGCATTGTGCATCTAGATCTGGAGCGTCTACTGCTGAAACATTCATTGAACACTGTGGATTTAACCGTCCTAGGAAACAGATGAATATATTTTGGAGATAGGCATATCCCTCCGTGGGTGCATTTTGTTTCCCCCCATAATAGGTTATCTTCAAGATTTCAAAGGAATAATGCAAGCCACACCTTCATCCACTGATGCTGGAGCACGATCAACTTTCTCCTTCCACGTCCCACAGTTCTGTATCGTGCACTGCAGTCCGTCATCTGAAACCATATGCCAACAAATACAGGATCAGACCTCCATCCCCCCAATCTTTTGGGTTTCATTTGCAAGGTGGGATTTCCTCCTACATCTTCCCCCTCCTTTTTTAAAAAAATAATAATAAGGGGTATTCCCTCCTTTGCGCTGAAAATTTCCTCTGCATTCTGGGTGTGTGACAGGGGAAAAGAAGCACTTTGGGACAGATATGACTTTCTACTTCTTCTTCTTCTTCTTCTTCTTCTTCTTCTTCTTCTTCTTCTTCTTCTTCTTCTGATTTGCTGGGAAACGGCATGCATAGCTCTTTCCACTCTGGCCGGACAGAGTCTTCCAAGAGTCTCTCTCTCTAGGAGGGCATCTCGCCTTCCCTGCCTGTGGAGAAGAAGATTTGCAATGTCCTGTGGTGTGTTGGATAAGTTCCCAGGGACCACAGGATTGTGCCCTTAATTAGTTTATTTATTTGAAGATTTCGTTTCAGTTACAAAAGAGAAATAAATTAGCCAACGTTTCATTAACCAACATCACATTAAGCGCTCGTTTCCAGCAGAGCCACCAATTTTTAATTACATATTCTCTTTTCAGAGTCACCCGAGTTCAAATTTACTGAAAGTCTAACGCACAGATAGATCTATCTATGTTTGGCAGGCCTTTTAGCACACCCCCTTTTTCAGAGTCAACGCACAACAGAAACAGGAATCATTCCCCTAGAAATTTTGCTTGAAATTAGAGTGCAAAGCCGATCCCATGTACATTGGGTCCTCCAGGTATCGCTGGATTCCGGCTCCCATCATCCTGGGCCATTGGCTGGGGCTGATGAGAGTTGGAGTCCAATGACATCTGGAGGGCCGTTGGTTCCCTAACCCTGCCATATGGTTCATCCTGACTCCTAGCTGAAAGAACACATGCAGAGGCTCTCACTTGTAAGTAAGAAAGTGTTCTTTATTCATGTCAGGCTTCGTAAATGACGTGATACTGGTGGCCGTAAATGAGCAGATCAGATGAAAGGAATTCTTACCAGCTAGTTTCTTTAATAAACACAGTGAAGGAGAAAAGAAAACGTCAACCCAGAATGGTGGTGCTCCCAATGAAGCTTACATCCCCTCGGTCCCTATTAATCTACGTCACTCCTACATCTTGTAATCTGAGCTTGCACCCTCTGCGCTTTCTGTTCTGAGACTTTCTGAGCTCTTCTCAACCCTGGGGAGAGCGGAGAAATGCTGTCCAGAGACTGTGAATCTGTTAACCCTCTCTCTTCCAGTGTTTCTTCTCCTAGCTGTTCCCCATCCAGTATTTCCCAGCTTCTGCCTTCTGAACTATGCCCCTCTGCAAACCACTGTTCCAAATCTATGCTGTCCCACTGCTTCTGGAAAGATTCAGGATCCTGATCAGGAGCAGGAGGAGGAGGGGCCTCCCACTCCTCCTCCTTAGTGCAGCCCTGTTCAGCACGGTCCCTGACAATTCAGGAGAATAATAACTTATCATCTGCTCACCTGGACACCACGGACTCTTATCTAGGAGAGGTCACCACGAGGAATTTTGAGGAGCTGTATGCATGGCACAACTGACCAGAGAACTGGGAACATCCTCCATAACCCGTGATCCATGAGAACACAATAATTTCTCATAGGTATTCCAGTTGCAAACCCCCCCCCCCAGTGTTATTCAGTAAAAGTGTCTGAAGACTAAGGACTGGCCAATGAAAGGACATCAATTTCACTGCAGTATGAGAACAGGAAGGAACTTTTACTCCAGTTTACATTCCTTACAGAATGTAGGGAACCAGAGCTTGGTTTCACTCAGGGGGAAAAAAAACCCCCCTTTGATTTATAATAAGTTTTCTACCTGATAACATATTATGACTAATTAAAACATAAACCCAGAGGGTACGAGGTATGGGACAAATATTTACTTCTCTGATTAGACCTCCATATGTCTTCTGGTGACTGAAAATCCAGGTGCTCCCTGCTTCTGGCTGCCTCATATGTCCCCCCCCTTCCCACCAGCGAAGACTACACTTGTCTTAATTTCCCCTCAATTACACCCAGGCATTAACTAATACTGACTAACTACAGCCCAAAATAATTATTGCTATCTGTTCCCTTTGTAAATATAACTCCAGCACTGAGTGAGAAGAATAATGGCATATTTACAGAAGGCAGCTAATTAAACTCAGCTTCAATTGCCTTCGGTTTGCCAGAAGGAGCCACTTTCAGAGGGAGGGGAGAAGGGAGTGCGGAAGCCTGAACGTACACTGGGAATGAGTCGGTGTAACATTATTCAGGGTTCCCAAGACAAAGATTCAGTTCGAGACAAATTTACATTGGCCATAAAAAAATCTCATTAAGGAAGATATGAAGATATCACAACTACAACATGACACTTTCGTTCCTGCCTCGCCTCGCCTCACCCCACCCTACCCCCGCCTCACCAACTAACTGAGAGCCAGTGTGGTGTAGTGGTTAAGAGCGGTAGACTCGTAATCTGGTGAACTGGGTTCGCTTCCCCGCTCCTCCACATGCAGCTGCTGGGCTAGTCACCTTGGGCCAGTCACACTTCTTTGAAGTCTCTCAGCCCCACTCACCTCACAGAGTGTTTGTTGTGGGGGAGGAAGGGAAAGGAGAATGTTAGCCGCTTTGAGACTCCTGAAAGGGAGTGAAAGGCGGGATATCAAATCCAAACTCTTCTTCTTCTTCTCTTCTAACACCAGTTTATTTAAGGGAGAGTATATATTTCACTGTTCCATAGCAGCTGACATTGAAAGCCTCTTTCTTGAGATCCTTGACTGTAATACACTTTCCTTATTGTCAGCACCTTGAAGACGCGGTCTGTTGAAGCACCATCATCAGAGAGATGGAAATGTTAAAAGACTTGTGAAACTCCCTTTGCTTAACTGCACGACAGCAAAAGTGGGTTTTGCAAGCCCTTGTGGTCATTAGGAGACTTAAAACTTCCAAGCCTGGGAGGACAAAAACACCTTCCATCCATTAAGTGATAGCCAGAAGACCTCACTGTCCTTGACCCATTTGAACACATTCCTATTTGGACTGTTGCCTGCCTTATATGGATTTATATGTTTACATGTATTGCCAGCTATTGTATTCTTAATATGAGCCACTGTTGTTGTTGTCTTCTTTTTCTTCTTCTTCTTCTTCTTCTTCTTCTTCTTCTTCTTCTTCTTCTTCTTCCGCTTCCTCTTCCTCTTCCTCTTCCTCTTCTCCCATCCTCCTCATCCTTCTCATTCTCCTTGCCTGCCTTATATGGATTTATATGTTTACATGTATTGCTGGCTATTGTATTCTTAATATGAGCCACTGTTGTTGTTGTCTTCTTCTTCTTCTTCTTCTTCTTCTTCTTCTTCTTCTTCTTCTTCTTCCTCTTCCTCTTCCTCTTCCTCTTCTCCTCCCCTCCCATCCTCCTCATCCTTCTCCTTCTCCCTTTCCTTTCCTTTCCTTTCCTTTCCTTTCCTTTCCTTTCCTGAAATTTGTTATTAAAAATCAAGACTTAATAAACTTTTCAACATTCGAGTTAGGCTTCTGTCTATGTGGACAAGGTATCATTTGGGGGTGGGGGTCTCATTCTCTAGACAATTTATAATTTCTTTAGAGTTTTTGACAGTGTGGTGATTTGAGTTTACAATGACAAAGAGTTTCTTTCCAATAAACATTTCTTTAGCCTCTCTGAAAAAGACCTGTGGGAGGAGTTAACTCGCGATGACTTGCTCTGGGCTTTGATTGATGCATGGTCACCTGAGAAGGCTGCAGACTGCAGACCACTGGTGAGATGATCTGTAGAATGAATGAAAGAGCTTTCACAAATAACCCTCAGCCATCTCAAAAGTAAGGTAAGTATCACCACCACCACCCATGAAAATGTCACCGAAATTTTCTTTCTCCTTTGATAATTGTCAATGCAGTTTCTTTTCTCATTGACTGATGGATAATTATAATGGTTAAAGATTTGTTTTATTTTTGCTCAGCTCTAATGAAAAGCCTGGGATCTCCTGACCTGGATGGCCAGAGTATGACTTTAAAAGCTAGCATGAGATTTTCAGAAAGGTTTACAAGATGCCAGAAGGCGGTGTTGCTTCAAGCAAACAAGACCTGATTGCGTAGATCTAATCAAAGCTCACATTTGGTGAGGATGCTGTTTGCTAAAGAGAGATAATTCTAGCTGTTCCTGCAAATGATGTTGCTGGAAAACTGTATCCTATAGATTTATTTATTTTTTTACATATACCTATTTCACCCACACAATTCATTAAAGGGGCTCCTGTAGCTCAGTGGCTGAGCATTTGTTTTGAATGCAAAGGTCCAAGGTCCAATTCCTGCCATCGTTGGTAGCGCTGGGAAAGACAGCAGTCTGAAATCTTAGAGAGCAGCTGCCAATCAATGAAAACATAGCTCAGTTGGATGGACCAAGAGGGTAAGGACCCATGTCACTTGCCAACATGAATGTCATTGGTAGGACAGGCTTACATTTTACCCAGTGATATATCTAAAATTGTACAGACCCTTTGCTCCTGATATCAGCTGCACACCATTTGTTCCAGTTTGTAAACTTCACACAGTAGCATTTCGGGGTTTTTTTCTATTTTTTTATTAATTTTCCAAAATTGTAGCACAAATAACATACAAAACACACAAAAGAAAACACATTATAATACTAAAAAGAAGGAAAGAAGACAAATAAAAACACATTACTTCTAACCTAAATTAACTTTTAACTGACTTCCTGAAATCCCCCTAACTGAATTTCATTGTATCACCTTGTAACAGTTCTCCAAAATCATATTTCTTATAAAATTAACACCTTCAATTTACTATCCTCTTTTTTATTGATATTCTTATCCTTAATTCTTTCACAATTCATTCTTAATCTAATCCTAAACCTATTTGATACTTCCATGTGATTTCTAATTGTTTTATATTACAATATTTGGCTAAATATTCTTTGAATTTCTTAAAATCTTCTTGGTATTCCTCTTCCTTCTAGTCGCGGATTCTTCCAGTCAGGTTGGCCAACTCCAAAAAGTCCAGCATCTTCATCTGCCATTCTTCTATTGTTGGTATCTCTTGCAATTTCCAATTTTTGGCAAGTAAAAGTCTTGCTGCTGTAGTGGCATACAAAAACAATCTAACATCTTTTTGGGGCAACTCCAATCCTATTATTCCCAGTAGAAAGGCTTCTGGTTTCTTAATAAATGTATTTTTCAACATTTTTTTCAACTCATTATAAATCTTTTCCCAGAAGTCTTTCACCTTGGGACACATCCACCACATATGATGAAAGGTGCCTTCTTTTTCTTTGCATTTCCAACATAAATTATCCTTCGTATGGTAAATCTTTGCTGTGCCCAAGAGGTTTGAAACATCCCATGACTGGGATGTAATGCTTCAAATTTATATACGGTGTGGAAATCTCTAGAGTATCTTGGAATGCTTCTGATGATTGCACAAAATTCCTTAGCTTTGGGGAAATCTGCGACTAGATTTCACAGGGCTTTGCTGTGAGCAATATCTTGTTACAAAGTAGCCCTGAGAAGGTGTGTGTGTTTGCTGAAAAGCTTCTGGGAAATGATATATAATGAGATGAAAAAGATGTTGAAATATACATTTACAAAAAAACCAGAAGCGTTTCTACTTGGCATTGTAGGGGAGGATATTAATAGACAGGATAATAAACTCTTTCTATATGCAACAATGGCAGCAAGGGTACTAATGGCACAGAAATGGAAACAAGAAGAACTACCAATGAAAGAAAAATGGCAAATGAAATTAATGGACTATGCAGAATTAGATAAGATGACAGGAAGGATTTGAAACCTGCGGGATCAAAGATTCTCAGAGGACTGGAGTAAATATGTGAATTATTTGAAAAGCAATTGTAATCAACAGATTACGCTAGCAGGATTGCAAGAAGGACTATATGAAATATTGCAGAGAAAAGTATGAAGAGAATTATGAATGAAGGACTATGACAAGTAATAGTGAAATTAATGAAATGCAGATTAAGTGATAAAGACTGAAAAATCTTCAGATGTGGTTGATGGAAGTCCAAAATATTGTATAAGATAAGAAAATATGTTGTATGTTTTTTGGAAGCTTTATGTAAAAATTAATAAAAATATATTTAAAAACAAAAAACCAAATATATAATACATTAAGACATAAAATTCAACAATCAACTGAAAAAGAAGAAGAAGAAGAAGAAGAAGAAGAAGAAGAAGAAGAAGAGAAGAGTTTGGATTTGATATCCCGCCCTTCACTCCCTTTAAGGAGTCTCAAAGCGGCTAACAGTCTCCTTTCCCTTCCTCCCCCACAACAAACACTCTGTGAGGTGAGTGAGGCTGAGAGACTTCAGAGAAGTGTGACTGGCCCAAGGTCACCCAGCAGCTGCATGTGGAGGAGCGGAGACATGAACCTGGTTCCCCAGATTAGGAGACTACCACTCTTAACCACTACACCACACTGGCTCTAGCTTAAAATCGGATTAAACCACTACACCACACTGGATCTAGCTTAAAATCGGATTAAACCACTACACCACACTGGCTCTAGCTTAAAATCAGATTAAAATCCAAATAAAATACCCTTTAATCATTAAAAAGGGGGGCGGAGAAGGTGTGTGTGTTTGCATTCCTATAGAAACCAAACAGCAGAAAACATATCCAAAGGGACATAACTATTGGGAAACGCCGTAGCAGAGCACTTGCTTTGCATACAGAAGGTCCCAGGATCCATCTCCAGCTCTAGAATCCCTTGTCTAAAATCCTGGAGAACGGCTGCCAGCCCGTGTAGGCAATACTGAGATAGATGGACCAAGAATCTAACTCCATAGAAGGCAGATGGCCATGTGTCCTGCCCTTTTCACAGTGGTTGCTCAGAATTCAAAATAATTTTGTGAGTTTCTTGAACGAAGCATTGCCTGCACTGGACTTTCTAGGCACGACAGTGAACGATCCTCTCCATCTTTCTTTGCTTCTGATTTCTAAATTTGCCTACCTTCCCCCCCTTCTCTCGGCAGCAACAGTTTGCAAGGCATCTGGCCTCTCCTCTTCTACCTCCTCCCATGTTTAATTAATTCCTTTAATTTTGACACAAATGAGCATAATAGGACTAAATTTTGCCATTTATGTGAAATTGATTGGTAATTACGGTGAGCACAAGAGGCTTGGCTCCGCACACCATTGCAGAGTGACCTCTTTGTCAGCGTGGCTCAGCATGTCTGAAATGTTCCTTGTGTGAAAGTAAAGGCAGCATGTCTTAAACTGCTGCACATGGGGAACATGTGGACCGGGAGGTGCAGCCTTCCTTTTAAAGAAATAAAAAATAGCAATGCTTTACAGCAAAAGTGTTTGCTGCTTTGCAGTCTTAGATTTCATCGAATTTCTTGCAATTTTGTCCCAACTGTCTTTCAGTCTCAGTGCGCAAGCTCTGTTCATTCCCAGAGTGGCAATGCTCGGCAGCCCTTGAAATTATTTAGAGTGTGAAATTTCAGTTTGAAAAGAACGAAATGTGGTGCGGAAGAGAAGGGTCCGTTCTGATTTTTTCTTGGGTTACAATGCATCTCAATAGATAGGCGACTTGTATATTGCTTAAGCTCAACACTTTTTAGAACAGTGAAGCTATTTTGTAACATTTGATAACAGTATTGTTGTTGTTGTTTAGTTGTTTAGTCGTGTCCGACTCTTCGTGACCCCATGGACCAGAGCACGCCAGGCACTTCTGTCTTCCACTGCCTCCCGCAGTTTGGTCAAACTCATGCTGGTAGCTTCGAAGACACTATCCAACCATCTCATCCTCTGTCGTCCCCTTCTCCTTGTGCCCTCCATCTTTCCCAACAGGTCTTTTCCAGGGAGTCTTCTCTTCTCATGAGGTGGCCAAAGTATTGGAGCCTCAGCTTCAGGATCTGTCCTTCTAGTGAGCACTCAGGGCTGATTTCCTTAAGAATGGATAGGTTTGATCTTCTTGCAGTCCATGGGACTCTCAGGAGTCTCCTCCAGCACCATAATTCAAAAGCATCAATTATTTGGCGATCAGCCTTCTTTATGGTCCAGCTCTCACTTCCATACATGAGCGTATTAGCCGGCAATAAAAGATGGACATACAACAGAAGATGGGCAGAAATGGGGCAAATAGGGACAGCAATAATGTTATGATACACAAAGCATCACATTAAGTGAGTCCTGTTCAGAAACATTTCTGCTGTCATCTACAGAGGCACAACATAGCCATCATAGCTAGTAGTCGATGATAACTAGCCACTTATAAACACCATCTCCAACTCCTCAAAAGATTCCATCAACAGTGTCTTCGAAATTTTTTAAAGGCAAACTAATGTCAGTGTACTGGAAGAAGCAAAGATCACCAGTGCCGAAGCAATAATTCTTCAACATCAGCTTCGTTGGACTGGTCACATTGTTCGGATGCCTGATTATCATCTTCCAAAGCAACTACTCTATTCCAAACTTTAAAACGGAAAGCTTAATGCCAGTAGTCAACAAAAGAGGTTCAAAGACTCTCTCAAGGCAACTCTTTAAAAATGTAGTATAAACACTTACAACTGGGAAACACTGGCCTGCGAGTGCTCCAATTGGAGAACAGCCTTTACCAAAGGTGTCATGGGCTTTGAAGATACTTGAACTCAGGACGCAAGGGAGAAACGTGCTAAGAGGAAGGCATGCTTGGCAAACCCTCACCATGATCAACTCCCATCTGGAAACCTATGTCCCCACTGTGGAAGAACATGAGGATCCAGAATTGGCCTCCACAGTCACTTACAGACTCACTGTTAAAACCATGTTTATGGAAGACAATCTTACTTGGCTAAGAGTGATCGCCAAAGAAGAAGAAGAAGCCATTGATAGCCTATTATTATTATTATTATTATTATTATTACTACTACTAATTATTACTACTACTAATAATAATACTATTAGTATACCACCCTTTGTTTTTATTTTTAAATATACAATATGAGAACACAAAATACATTTTAAAAAAGCAAACTAATAACTGACCTCCCACAAACACATTTGAAAGGCCATTGATTGTTCCATCAGCCAAAGACTTGGATACAGAGAACCGTTTTTGCTAGGCACCTAAAGATATGTAATGAAGGTGCCAGGGGAGCCTCTCTGGGAAGAGGATTCCACAAACGGGAGCCACCACAGAAAGGCCCGTTCTCATGTTGCCACCCTCCACAAATTTGTCCTCCTTTAAGGCCATCAAGTTGGTGACCATCATTTTTTCCAAGTCCACCTGTTCATATTTACAGATGTGAGGATACTCAGTGGCATCACAGACACGAAGGACCCTGGGATATGTAGTCTGCAGAGTGGCT